GCTAGGCCATCTTACTGCTTTTAACATATAGACACAGTGTGTGTCTCTTAACCCTAATTTGTATTAAAGTGATTATTTGTTCTCCAGTCCTTATAAAGGCATGCAGCTAGTTCACTGCTTCTTGTGGCAAACAAGGCTGGTTTTTGACTCAAGAGCCTTAACAGTAATTTTCTGTAGTTAGGCTAACAGTCTTGACAGCCTGAATGACTAGCCTGGGAAATGCCTGGTTCCGCTAGCCACAACCCACCCCATTCAAGCCATTTGCATTTAACAATGGTATGCTAGAACAATGGTAAATGCTAGAAAGTGTCTGTGGAAAAAGTTACACTCCAGGTACCTTTGTGCATCTTTTTTAGATTCTAGTTTAGTTTCTAGAACTCCCCAGAGACAAATTTTAGCATATATAAGGCACCAGACTGACTCAGGGTCCTTCTTGCACTTCTCCTGCATCTCCATTTTTTGTATTAATCTTTGTTTAACTGAAATGGTGAAGTAGAGTGATACTTCAAAGCAAACCAGCCTTTGTAAGGCTCTTTACACTAATTTTGGTTTCAAGACAATTAATTGTACTCAAAAGTGTTAAATGTAGCTATCACTCTCTTTAAAAGGAGCTGCTACAGTCTAGCTGTGTAGGACCAGAAACTGTCTTCCATGAAGAAATCTTAGTCGTGAATATCCGTTTAAGGTACTGTTGGTTTGCATGACACAAGGAACAAGGTGGAAGAGAAGCAACTTGTAGAAAGTAAATCTTCCAGGAAAAACATAAGAAACCCCGAGTTTTCATCAAGAACTGGAGAAGTGAATCATGAAACTGCAAGTGTGCTTTTAAAAAAGTAGTCTGTCGACTACTTCATTTTTCCTCTGGAACTGCAGGCACAGATTCATTGCAGTCCATCTGTCCTTTCTGGGACTTGCCTCCTAGTACTTGACCCTCGAATGAGCTTGCAGTACTCAGTACTACGCCTTATAAAATAATAAAGACTTAAAAGCCACAGTAGTAACGGTTACATCTTGATTGTGACAGGGAAGCAGAATATTGCTTCTGGCACGCATGCATGTGCGCGCGCGCACACACCTCAACCAGATTCTGGTTTCTAGACAGAAAAGCAGGAATTGTAGAATGAGATTTGAAAGGTATCAGGATTGCAAGTGTTTCCATTAGTGGTTGAATAAAACTAAGACCAACAGCAGTAATTGTGTCCAACCAAATTGAAGTTGGAAATGCTCTTCAAAGATGAAGCACAGGCACCAGGATCATCTTTGTTGAGCAATGTAAGAGATACTTATCTGATCAATAGTTCAGAGAAGGAGAAATGCTGAGAATAGGCTTACATTAAAAACCTAGAAAGGCCAAAGCCCAGCTCAAATTCAATTTGGCTACTGCTGTTAAAGACAACAAAAATGTTTATATAAATATATTAGCAATAAAAGGTGAACTAAGGAGACTCTCCAACCTTTAGTGGATGTGAGGGGAAACAGAGTGACCAGGAATGAGGGAAAGGCTGAGGTACTTAATGCCTTCTTTGCTCAGTCTTTACTGGGTAAATCCATTATTACTCTGGGTACCCAGTCCCCCTGAGTGAGAAGACAGGGATGGAAAGCACAGTAAAGTCCCATAATCTATGAGGAGATGGTTGGTGACCTGCTGCACCACTTAGACATACACAAGTCTATGGGGCCAGATGGGATCCATGCCAGGGTCCTGAGGGAGCTGGCGAAAGTGCTCGCCAAGCCACTTTCCATCATTTCTCAGCAGTCTTGTCTAACCAGGGAGGTCCCAGTTGACTGGAGGCTTGCAAATGTGACGCCCATCTTGAGAAGGGCCGGAAGGAGGACTTGGGGAACTACAGACCTGTCGGTCTGACCTTGGTGCCAGGGAAGGTGATGGAACAAATCATCCTGAGTGCCATCATATGGCACATGCAGGTCAACCAAGCGATCAGGCCCAGTCAGCATGGGTTTAGGAAGGGCAGGTCCTACTTGACTAATCTTACGTCCTTTTATGATGAGGTGACCTGCTTGGTGGGTGAGGGAAAGGCTGTGGATGTTGTCTACCTGGACTTTAGTAAGGCCTTTGACACTGTTTACCACAGCACCCTCCTGGAAAAGCTGGCTGGGCATGGCTTGGACGGGCATATGCTTAACTGGGTAAAACACTGGCTGGATGGCTGGGTCCAAAAAGTTGTGGTGAATGGAGTTAAATCCAGCTGGCGGCCAGTCACAAGTGGTGTCCTCCAGGGCTGAGTACTGGGGCCACTTCTATTTAACATCTTTATCAATGACATGAACGAGGGAATTGAGAGCACCCTCAGTAAGTGTGCAGATGACACTAAGTTGGGTGGAAGTGTTGATCTGCCTGAGGGTAGGAAGGCTCTGCAGAGGGACCTGGACAGGCTGGATCAATGAGCAAAAGTCCATTGCAGGAGATTCAACGAAGCCAAGTGCTGAGTCCTGCGCAACAGCCCTATGCAGCACTACAGGCTTGGGGATAGGTGTCTGGAGAGCTGCCCGGAGCAGAAGGCCCTGGGGGTGACTGACAGTCACCTGAACATGAACCAGCAGTGTGCCCGGAGAGCCAAGAAGGCCAACAGCATCCTGGCCTGCATCAGGATTAGTGTGACCAGCAGGAGCAGGAAAGTGATTCTTCCCCTGTACTTGGTACTGGTGAGGCTGCACCTCAAATACTGTGTTCAGTTTTGGGCCCCTCACTACAGAAGGACATTGAGATGCTGAAGTGTGTCCAGAGAATCAGTGAAGCTAGTGAAAGGTCTGGAGCACAAGTCTTACGAGGAGCAGCTGAGGATGCTGGGGTTGTTCAGTTTGGAGAAAAGGACACTGAGGGGAGACCTTATCGCCTTCTACAACAACCTGAAAGGAGGCTGTAGCCTCCTGTATGTTTAAAATATTTTCTCGCACAGAAGCTGACACAGCCATACCATAGAAAACAAATTTTGGTAGAGATACAAAGCAGGTTGTTTTTTGACTATTCACATTCTGAGTACCTTGCTGATGAAAAAAGCAGCAATACCATAAATCTGAAGACTCTCCAGGAAAACTTTCAATTGGGTTTCATACTCTTACTGAGTCACCTGTATTCTGAGAATTTTCTCTAAAAGGATTAGTTGTCGTGTATTCTTAAGGTAAGTTGGCCTTTGCCTTTATAAGCATGTGTAGTATTTCTAATCTTTATTCAATTGCATTTTTGCAGGATAATGCAAGCAAAAACATTCATGACATCGAAAGCACCAGTCTCTGCAGAAGATTAAAAAATAGTCTGGTCTGTGTTGTTGAATCCAAGATTTGTAATAAAGGTGGCCAAGCTAGCCTCAAAAGTTGCTCTGTCTACCTAGAGATGCTGAATAGGACTTCAAAACAGTTTATGATCACTAGTGCAATGTTTCTGTACCTTGTATCATCAGGACTGTTTGATTTACAGCTCCAGTGTGGTGTGCTGCACTTGCCAGTACTGTAGCTAGCTTGACAGAGCCAGCCTAGGTGAACAGTCTGATTCTAAGAAAACTGTTTCACAGTGTTAGAGTAGCTCAGTAGTTAAACTTAAAAAAAATAAAAAGTGTAATTTAGTAATTTTGAGGAAAAGGCAAGGAAAAAAAGACTTGTAATTAAGTAATTTTGAGGAAAAAGCAAGGAAAATATGTCGTTGTTTTGAAAAGTATCTACTAGAGTCTGTTAGATGTCAGAAGGCAGAGCCTAAAAACAAAGGTGGTTTTATTTGATTTGTGTGAGTGTCCTGTGTGTCATACCAGGAATTACCAGTGTTACCTGAATTGCTGCAGTTCAGCAGAGCAGCCAGAAGAGAGGAGTCAGCACTGTTACACCTAAGGAGCTCTGTGTAAATGCTCTGCAGAGTGTCATCTGGGAAACCTTGGGAATCCAAGGTTTGAAACCTTGAAAATCCAAAGCTTTGAAACCTTTATGCAAAACCACTACCAAAAATAGTCACTTCAGACAAACCAGCAGTTTACTCAGATTAATCTGAACGCAGTAACCTGCAAGTCCTGAGTTAACGCCACCCAGGAGACTGCCCCAGTGAGGTTTTTCTACTGGTCTGACTGCTGTCTCCATTGCAGGAGTGCTTTCATACGTGTTTCCACAATGATCTGACCCCAGACAGGAGGGGAGCTGAGACTGCTGCTGCTTTCCTGCACTTTGTCCTTTCTGCAGTTCTTCGTAGCAGATCATCTCTTCAGGTATCTGTACTGATTTGTTCCTACTGCTTATGTCAGATAATATCTGAACAGAGATGAAAGAATCACAACTTGCGCTGGTGTTATCTTCGGAGGAAGCACCTCTTCTGGGATTCAAGGGACGGTGGTGTAACAGCACAAGATGTGGTGCTTTAGCACAGACTTGGGCAGCAGGGCTGTATTAGCTCTGTCACCAGAAGAAACAATCCTACAGAGAGATTGCTTCAGTGTTATCTACATATGCGTCAGTGTTTAAGCAAGTCAGTACGATTTTAGATACATGTATTTGTACAAGCAGCAGATAAAACACACTGAGACCTTCCACTGGAGACTAGTGTGCTCCCTTTCATGTTTTGTGATCAGCATGATTTTTAAAAAGGGCAGAAATTGAAGGGCCAATGAAAAAACGTGGTTAATTAAATGTGAAAGGTGCTGTCCTTGTTTGGACTGTCTGTTAATGGTATGACAAGCTCTGGTAAAGAGCTTAGCCGGCCAGATTAAAATTAAAAAATTGTCTCAGTCCATCTGCTAGCTCCAAGGAGTTTACTTCCATCACCTTTTCTTATTTCTTCACTGAAGTGGAATACAGTGAAAAGAACATTCTCAGGATGTCTCAGTTGACTTTTTTTACCTAATGTTTTTTCCAAAGATAATTGTATGTGACGCCAAGACATTTTCAAGAAAGGCAATACTCTTGGTTGGTTCAAGGATACGTTAAAGACAACAGCTCCTTTGCTAAAAGGGATTTTCTTTTTTTTTTTTCCTTGCATATAGTTGTTTTTGAAACAAAGAAGTATGTTTGACTTAATTTGGAGAATGTTTCTTTGCCTTCCGGTTTTGGGAATGACTAAAAGTGATCTTCAGACAGTTGCAGGTAATGCAGAAATCTTATTCATATTCTTGTATTCAGAGTTTATCTATGGTAGTGTGCAAAAAAAAAATTATACCTCTCTGCTTTAATTATACAAAAGGAGAATAATACAGAGAAATGTTTGGTCAAATCTGTGCATGATATCAGTGTAAATATGGAATATTTAGAATTATTCCCAGGAGGTATTACTGTACATTTGTGTTGTTTTGAGACTGGAATATAGCTACAGGAGGCAAGTTTTTCCAGCTTTGGGAGACATTAATTACTGATAAATGTTTTACATGGTGCTTTTTTCATTAAGAATTTTGTATTATATCTTAAAAACTGAGGTTCTGTCTTCTGCTTATGGACACTGAAGACACATTAGTTTTGGTAAAGACTGGGCTTTTGCCTTAGGGACCTTTTTGGTGTTCCCTTCTCCCTCTGATGTACCATCTGGTGGTTGTTTTTTGCACTAGACTCGACTATTAATATGCCATCAAAATAATCATGTCCTTCATCTTTCAGTCATTGAAGTCAAAGGTGCTATTGACTTTGAAGTTGCAGAATAAGCTCCTAATCTGTGGGATGAAAAATTACATACACTTATCACTGTTCTTTCTCTAAGAAATTATTCATTGTGATTCTTCTTCAGTCATGTTTTCTGGGGAAAAAGTGAAAGTAGAAAGTTGAATTAACTAATTTCAGATCAGCTGACTGTGGAAGATAGAGAATTAGACTGTCAGACTAAAACCAAATAGACAGATTTTCCCCTCAACTGTAAAGTTTTCTCTGGAACAACTAACATAAGAGGGGATTTTTAAAAAGCTAACATTGATGAGCCCTTTTTCCCCCCCTCCTTATTTTTTCCCCTCTCCAGTCAAGTAGGGACCTATCTCATGGTGGTGAAAGGTGTACTTGCTAGCTGTAAATTCAAGCAGCTTTCTTGATGCAAGGAATGTAAATGTTGTAGAAAGAAAGTATAGAATAAGGGGACTTGGTAATTAATTTATTACTTTTTTCATTCCTGTCCCTGAAAGCTTCTAAGTACATGTTCATTCACAGATACAGTCCCATTGACTTAAAGAAGCCGAATCATAGAAGTGTAGTTAAGCACAAAACATTAGCATTCAAAGAGTAAGGGCTTTAAGTTATCATTTGATAGGATGCTGTAAAGAGCTTAAGGTTGTTTATAATACTACAGTCATACAGACAGGCTTTGTTAGCAGTAAAAAAGTGCAGTTATGTCCTTCAGAGAGCAGTGGAATGGCATTAAGATGCATATGATTGCATCACTATCTTACCTGAGAAATTTGTGTGATTTTAATTTTACAGCAGAAGGTTATTCAGCTACAGAAGGAGGACAGGCTAAAGATGGTTCACCAACACCACAGCTCAGTGGCTGGCAGTTGGCAAACCCTTCTCTGCCTCCTGAATTGAAAAAGCTTTATGGCATCATGGAAGCTGAACAGGTCAACAAGCATGTGCTGTTACGAAGGAAGCGGTCCATTCTGTTTCCCAGTGGTGTTAAGATCTGCCCTGATGAATCTGTTGAGCAGGCTATTGCCAACCATCTGAAATATTTCAGGCTCAGAGGTAAGTGATTGTAATCTCATGGGTAATTGATAAAGAGCTTTTATTTATTAAAAAATAGTAGATGAAGCTTTTAAGCATGATAAATACCAGGCAATAGGAAATAAATCATTACTTAAGAAACTTAGTTTTCTGTGATAATCTTCCTTATGAGAGCTGTTCTGAGGTGAAAAAACACCTTCTGATTACACTTATACATCATAAAAACTCTCAGTCTCTGAAAACACAGTTAGTGTTTAATTACTCATCCTTATAGAACAATTTGAATGCTAAGAAAAATAGGTTTTATGTGCAGGTTACCCAAATGGCAGAGCTTGTTGTTTTTATTTAGTGTTCTTCAAGTGCTAGTAGAATTCACTGAGGGATCTTTCAGAAAAGAGTCAGGTGTGAGACATTAGTGTCTCAGCAATGTGACTTTTGACTATGCCTGGTTGTGTGAAGCATTGCATGTTCTCTTGCCTAGAAATCCGATTTCTGTGTATCAAGCTGTAGTATAATAGACATGAAGCCTTTCTTTTAGGATGCAGAAGTTGGTGTGACAGAGCTTTCTCTGAAAATCTAAAGAACATATTTGGAGAACAACAAAGTGGAATTATATGGGAGCCTCATTCAAATATGAATTTTGCCCAGCCTGTGAGGGATGCCAACACTGATGATCACACAGTTTGAGAGGCTTTGCAAGCTTCATGTTTACATCCACCCTGTAACACTCAAGTCGTCTTTGTTTTGCTCAAAGTGAATCTATAGTATGTGCTTTAGCTGCAATCACTGCTCAGTTATCTGTGATAGCAGTATGTAAGGGCAGTACCAAGTAAGCAAAAGTGTGAGTGATAATAAAGAAGGAAAATCTGTAAATTAGGTTGTAAAAGCTTATTTAGGTCTTAATGGTCCTAGGTTGAACCAAAAATCCACCTAGTCCATCTGCTTCCCTACTGGATTTATGGCTTCCACAATCCACAACAATTTCTTAAGCAGAGATGCTATGACAACCCTTAGCGTTTTCAGCTTTAAACTTTTGAAAAAAATCTCTGCAAGTAGCAGAGATGATGCTGTTACTTTCATTCACAGTAAAGCTGTTCCTTGAGTATTACTGGATTTTATACCATCTTTTTCTTGAAACCATGCTTTTTTTCTAGCTAGCTGAGTCAGTGGAGTGATAAAATAGTGAGATGGACTTTCTTGTGTCTACACTGCCAACAAAATAGTCCTAGGAAAAAGTGTGGTCACTGTTCAGCACTCAGAGACCAGATAGTATCAGTAACTAGCAAAATAACTGACCCCACAACAAATAAGGAAATAAATAAGAACATATGAAGAATCTGTTGATTTTTCAATCTCAGTCTGCATTTGTAGAATCTTCTTTTTATTCTCTATCTGTTGAAGTAAGGAATGACCTTAATATCCTTCAGTTTCTCTGAAAAGGATAGTTTCAATGCAATCTGTTCTTTTGTTAGTTATATGTCACTGTCAGCAAAAACCACTGCCACTACCATGGAAGGGAAGGTTGGTTGCTCTTTTATACAAGGGTTTATTAGAAAAAAAGAAAAGGTTTGCATGTGCTGATTAGCTGGGTTACGTTTGTTCTATCTATATCAACCACAGAAGGAAACAAGTTGGAGTATAATTATCTATCTGTAGCTTCAAGCTTTTTTTTTACTTTTGCGAGCTTGCTAAAGCCTCTCTGACGAGAGACTGACTGACGAACATCTCTGTCATAGGCTTTAAGCATGATAGGCTTGAGGTTTTTTTCCTCCAGATTACATCATCTGGATTTTTTATAGCCTTAAAAAGATAGAAGATAAAGAGATATATATATAAATATATAATAAATCATTTTTAAAAAATCAAAAGGTGACAAAATACAGGAATGCGGAGAAAAATCAGTATTTTCTAAAACAGCAGTAGCACACTAACAGTAACACACACAGTAACATATGAAATTCTAATGGTATGATTTTTCACTGGTGGCTGTTATTATTGCTGTAGTAGTCAGAAGCACTGGCCAAAGATATAGGTGTTTTTGTACTTGTTTCTCTACACCTGCAGTCTAGAAGACAGATTTTTCAAGTGTTGATTTATTCCTGCAGTCAATCACACTGCAGAACAGAGTTTTGCATTAGCAGAAGATACTGTTTACAGTCTTTTTTGAGACAAATCTGGAATTATGAGTGTCCCTTGCGCTCCCCAGTCTGATAGAGTCACTGCATCTCTTGTAGCTGTGTATGGAGGTAGCTGCTGTTACCTGGCTTTGTATTTCTTTTGTTAGAATATGGAGATGAAAATCAGGCATAGATGCTTACAGATTGGATACTGTAGGCCTATGGGTTGACTTTTTAACACATGAACTGTTGTGATAAACACAATGTGTGTGCAATGGGCAACTGGAGGTTTCAAAAAACAGATTCTGTGGGAAGCTAATAGTGAGATTTCAGATTGTGAGTATACTGTATTTGGTAATGTTGATTATGAATAATGACATTCTTCACTGCTGATGGGGAGATGGTAGCCTAAATCCCTGTTAAATAAAAATTATTATATGAAAAAATAGCCATAGCCACTCAGACCAAAAGTCTGTGGTGACTAAAAGTCTGTCTACTTTGGGTAGATAATTCAGTGAGTCTGTCTGTTTCCTTTGGTGTAAATTGCTGGTAGATGGCTGAGGGTTGCAATAGACTTGGAAGCTGAATTAGCCAGTAAAACAGAAACAAGATAAGGATTGCAAGTTAGCATGGCTTGCACCATTTTCCCTATCCTATACCTGTCAACTGAGTAAAAAAAGGTCTGCTGAATTTTGACACCATGGTTCAGGGTTAATATTGCTACTCTTTGCCACCTCTGAGATATAGTTACTCTGGTGGCTACCTTTCCCAAATTCTGTTTGTATTTTTTCCTACTGTGATCCACTGTCTTAAATAATTCAGTATATGGTCATGAGTGAGTACATCTTCTTTTCGCAAGAGCAGATAATATAGTCTCTCTGACAGAACTGTTTTTGTCAGCTAGAGCTTCAGATAAAGCTGAAAAATCTAAAGATAGGGTTTAAAGATATGGAGCAAAGAAGGAAGTAGATCATATTCTAATGTGTCATAGCTGATAAGAGGCAAGGACATTTTGGTGCTTTGGAAAGAAGAAGAGGTATTTCTCAGGAATGAAGTTCTGTGCATGATTATGATCCCTAGACTGGGTAATCTGGGGCATAGCACTGAGCTATCTTGTTTTCCTTTTTCTTATGTCACTTCAAATCTATTTATTGAAGTATCAGAAATAATGATGTAATGTTCTGCACATGGACAGAGTTAAGAGTGAAGTTTTAATCTGATGCTGAAATCCTAAGTGTTGCAAATTATTCAAATGTTGCTGAATAATGATGAAAGCAAGCAGTCAAAAGTCATAAAAAGTACTTGGCTAAACAAAGCGTCTGGCTGAGTGAGCCTTTCCCCCTCATCCTTGGCATATATTGCTATATAGCTCATACTCAGCCAAAACAATTCTGAATTCTTTTTGTAGAAGGTCTAGTTCTGTCTCTGTCTACATTTGAATTCTTAGAAGTCAGGATAAGCTTCTAAAAAGCTTTTCCCATGAAAGACACTCTTTTGTAGTTACTGAAATATTACTGGTGAGAATAGTTTATGTGCTAGAGTTTAGTATCATAGCATTCAAAGAAAAAAATCTTTGATGTGGATTAGCTAATTCACTTTCAACTATTTTAATTTAAAATCCTGCCTTCTTGTATACATCGTTTAAGGGTTGCTGTGTTACAGGCTGTACATAGCAGCATTTCAGGAATAGGTGAAGTTATTTCTCTGCATATGTGTATAATAATTTGTTTAGCGAGTGCTAATGAAGTCTTTGCAGGAAAGATCTCTTAGGAAATGTCTCTCTGTCACCTGTAGTCCTTATCAAAACCCACTGCAATTAAGCCATTCAGTTGTGCAGAAATTGTTGGAAAGGAGAAGGAGTTGGCCTCATGTTGCCTCGAAATAGAATATTCAGCCTGATTCAGTGCTCCTAGCCACTGAACAGGATTCAACCTTTAAGAAGCAGTAATGGGATTTAACTGGGATTAAACTCCAGCACTGCTCACTTACACAAATGGCCAGGAAGCCACCCTACCCCCTACTAGGTGCCCAGTGCTGTCATGTGGTGCCCCTCCTGTTAACCTCAGAAATCCCTGAGCATGGACTGCGTGTAATAGGCTAATTGTCTCTCATTTGAGAGATAAATGCATTCTGAATGGTAAAGCTGGAGCCACAGAGATGCTGTATCCAATCCAGGTGCATGAGAGGTAATGATACAGGAGAATTTCAGAAAGAGGTATGATCTCATCACAGATCTTAGCTGGAGGTTTTGAAAACAATTATGAAGTCTTTAAGAAAGGAAGCTTCAAACAAACTTTTTCACTCCTTCCTGCAGATTTATAGGACTGAAAAGAGCTTGTGCCTGCCTATGTGGATTTTTTTTTACTAAAACACAATTTATCTTAAGCTTTTAAGGATATTCTGTATTATTTGTAAGTATTACTTGAGTGTAAACACTGCATTTGAAGCAGATAAGCTCCCAAGGGCTGAGCTTTTCAGCTTCCAGAGCAGATATGCTGGGATTCACATGTTCTTACTACATGTCTGGTTTTCTGAGGCAGCCTTTGAAACCTGTTACAGCCTCTAAAAGTCAAGGCCCTGCCTCCTTTAAGTGCCTATGACACTCTGCTCAAGTGGAAGTTTGCACAAGGGCATGGGCCAGACACGCTGATCTTTCGATTTCTTCCTGCCTCCTCTCTCACCTTGTAGATGATTATATCTCAGTGATGAGTTAAGTATCTTCTAATTTCTGAGGCATTTCAGGATAGAGTAGATGCAAAAGGTACTTTGGGGAAAAATCGCAGAACAAGTCATCTGGTTTGAATTCTGGTTTACTGCATCAGTCAGTTACACATCTTCTGTGCACCTACTTACAGCTGAAATGATCACATCTCTGTAGGAGGGAGCCTATCTTATCTCAAAGGCTTTGTTTTTTTAACATATGAATTCTTCAGAGAAAAAATTACGAAGCATCTGAGAGATAAATTAACACTAAAATACAAGTTATTTATTACTGCAGCCATGGGATGAAGGAAGTAATTTTCTAGAGAAGCTTACCTTCCCACCCACGTGTAGCCTTCAAGGCTCTTAGCCCGTTGCCTTAAAAGATTGATCTCGATTTTATGATGCTTTTAATCAGTATTGTTTGCCAGGGATTAAAGGCCTCATAGCAAATCCTGTCTCCTCCAGTGCTTGGTGTTGCTAATGCTGTCCCATATATCTGTGCCTGTGGCTACCTCTGTAGCAGGCTAGTGAAAGTCTGGTGAGATCTAGCCACGAAGACATGCCTTGCGGGCTGATCTGCTGTTCAACTGGCATGTGGCAGCACTGCTGGGGCTGCTCAGTAGTTCCTTCCTGATCCTGGCAAGGTTGGCTGCTTGGTTGGTTTGCTGGTTTTTAAGGGTTTTGCAGCCAGTCTTAAAAATCTAATTCTTGGAAAGATCATCACACAAAGCAGCAAATAAAATCTGTACAGCAGATTTATTTTACGAATAGTTGGAGTATTTTAGTGCAGCATATTGTACTAAGCAAGCACTGATGCTGCAAGTTTTACCCATCCCTAACTACTTTAAACATTTTATATTTAAAATTCAAAGTTACATTGCTAGTAAATATGTTGTTTTTTTTGTTTTCCCCTAAATTCTTATTTTCTTTTTTTTTTCTATTTTGGTTTCAAGGAGTTACTATTTTAAATATCAGTAAAAAATTGCTTAATTTATTGTCAGTATATGTAGATAGTATATGGGCCACAGATACTGGCAAGTTGCTGGAACACCCACAGGGGTGGGCTCCACCTTTGAGTTAAAAGAAGCTCAATCACATTTATTATGGAACTTGAACATACTGTGAGGGTGGTGTCTCTTCAGTTCCCTAGGTGGCTGTGTCAATGATGCTGTGGTAAGAACTGGCTTCCTCTTTGATGTACCTAAAGGAGAAATGGGAGGTAGAATAATGCTTGTTTCTTTCTTTACATGGGCATGAAAAAACCCATGCTGTTCTTCTGTGCTTGGAAAGGCAACTCTCATCTAACTACAAAACATTGAAAAAGTGTACGAGAAAAACAGACTGAAATGAAATTGTTCCTTTTCTTAGCCAGGCTACGGATTTTCTCTTGAACACCATATAGGTAAACATGCTTAGGGGTGGTTCTTGAGTTGAGCCTTTACAGCCTGGATTTGTTATTCTGCAAAGCAATCCCCTGCTTTACAAGCTGGCCAGTTGGAATAAACAGGACAGTCAGAAGTATGTCAACAAGGTCGGGGGATGACTGTGTGGCAAGCAGGTCACCACAGCCCCGTCTCCTCGGCAACGCTAATTGTTTAAATGGCAGTCATGGTAGTTGTTTGCCTGGGGTTTTTAATCCCTTCCCATATATCAGAAGTAACAAAACACTTGGGAAGAAGAAATTGGCCAGCCTTTTCCTTCTGAATATGGAAGCAATTTGTACCGTACTGTCCAGCTTGTTGTCGCTTTGCTGCAGTGGAAATTGCTAGCTAGGACACAAGCTAAAGATGACAGAATGTGACTCCTTATCTGTGTCCCCTTTCCTCTTTCCATGGAAAATATTACCCTGTTCTGACAAATTACATCTGATTAATCAGCTTGGAGACCACAGATGGCACACAGCCTTTGGGGTTGGAATTCAGTGAGGTGTCTAATTCCAAATGAAAGGACACACAACAAATCCTTAATCTACTAGGAGCTCATTGGGACAACTGTTCATACAACAGCAGCTTGTATTCAAGCAAGACACTGTCTCATCATGTTTCTTCAAAAAAAAGAGATTAAACTTATTTAAGAGCCTTAAGGAAAACTGCCTTCAATTATTACTGCCAATTAATTGGCAGTAATTAATTATTACTTGCAACTGGAAAGCCAGCCCTTTGCCTTTTGAAAACTGTAGGATTAGACAGTGCCACTGCAATGTGTTTGCAAGGCCTTGCCATAGCTTCACCTCTCACTGATAGCCTGCTGAAGGCTTATTCCAGCCACAGTATAATAATTTTATTACAAAATTGTTGCCGTACAATGTTGCACCTGGAGTGAAAGATCCATTAGTCAGAATGAAGGATACAAGTACTGCCAAAAGAAGTAAGAGTGAGTGGTATTCCTTAGTGTAGGCTTCTGGATTTGAAACTAGAATTTGATCTTTTCATGGATGCCCAGCTCTTAGGTGTGGGATGGTAGAGAGGATACTACAGATGCCATTCTGCTTCAGGAAGCTTATCAGTAGTCCAGCAGGATCCAGAAGTCCTGGAGCAGGATTACGGCTTCATTGCCCGAGGTCAGTGCAGAGGTCATACAGAAGCATGGTCCATGCCTCAAAGAGGTATTCTTCCTCAGCTGCTGTAGAAGCAAGCATGTGAGAGGATGCATGGATGCTTGTAAATTTGGCTATTTATTTCTGATTAGTAAAGACACGTAAGAAAAACTGTCTGGAAGCATCTCTAATACTCCTTACCTAATTACCCTGTCTTACAGATAAAGTTAGCTACTTGGAAACTGAGGGGGTGTTAGAACAGTGCTATACTACTGATAGTTAATAACGCAGAGTTTGAGAACTGCATTCTTCTCTAGTTGTACATGTCAAATGAGCTAGAAGGCTAATCACCATGTAGGAAAGCTGTCAGGAATGCGGAGTGGAAATGAGAGATATCTGTGTATCTGCAGAGTTTGACAATGGAGAAATGGTCTCAACTGCTCTCATAAACTGAAATACTGGATGGAGAAAACAGCTTTTTCTGCAAGGTGCCATCCAACGTGACAGAATCAGCTGAATTTTAAAGATGCTACTGCATGTGAAACAGTTCCTTAAGGCTGTTATTTATAAAGCTTTTGCATTGAAGAAAAATGTCTATCTCTTGTTTGAATGAAGTTATGTTTCCATAGGGGATCTATGTGTTAAGTTCTACACAAGTACATTAAATCAATTTCAGAATTCAGAATGCTGATTGTCAAGAAGACAAGGTACTGGTTTTGGCAGCCTGGAGTTTATTTTTAAGATGATTGAAGAAAATTACTTTCCAAAGATAGATTCATGGTCAGTCTCCTGTAGGATCTTGTTTGCAATGTCAAGACTTTCCCTGAATGCAAAGCATTCCTCTGCTGAGCTGTGTATATATAACTAGTGAAATCCGATTAAGGCCAAAAAGCAGGTTTGTCTGCTACTACTCCAGGCTGGCATCTGCTGTGAGTGATTTTTAGAGTTGTTCTCCTTTTAACACTGTTCTCTACCAGGACACAAGGAAAATCCTATAAATCTTCCTTTCTTCCAGTTATCCTGGGTCACAGAGAGGTTCGTGCTTGAGCATTATGTGACCAACTGCTCTGATTGGCAAAGTGCACATGTGAGATAGGGAGGTTAAAGCAGCTGTAGTAGTAGATAATTTAATCCTTAATTTGTAGACTGTCTGTTCAGTCAGAGATGCTTAGCTCTTTCTCAGTGCATACATGCAGTATGGTTAGAGGCTGACATTTCTTAACATATTGTGTTACTGTGTCATCATCCTGCCTTGTGTTTCAAATTATTAATGCATTTATAATTTCTGAAACTTATTTTAAATTCCATGTAAAGGCAAATCCAAAGGAATTGTTACTAATTTAGCCTCTAAAACTTTGATCAGTTCAACTATCATTCTTACAAATTAAGCTCAAGTTCTATTTTGTGTGAGAATATTTGCCATATGATTTTGGTTTTCTAAATTTCCTAAAAATCTGACCCATTACTGATTTACTCAGTAAAAATACTGTTGTTCTTGCTGGTTGTTAGGAGACTAGTGTGCACTCTCTTGCTCTCTATTTTTTTTTTTTTTAATTTAGTGAAGTAATCAATTACTTCATTTAAAAAATCAGGAAGGGAAGTAGTAGGAGTGTGGAAGATCCACCAGATCTTCACTGTCAATTCCTTCAATGCCTTACACATATACATATAGGTGTATAGTCACTGTATTCCATATATTAATGTATTGAAAAGCATACAACATTTGGACAGTACTTTCCTGACCACCCATGTCATGGAAGCACTCCTGTTGTACTAACACTAGATGTTTCTTGTACCTTCAGTGTGTCAGGAAACAGTCTGGGAGGTCTTCAAGACATTCTGGGATAGGCTGCCAGAGAGTGAAGAATACCACACCTGGATGAGCCTGTGTGAGGAAGGAATGATGAGCATCTTTGAAATGGGCACAAACTTCAGTCAGTCTGAGGAGCACCGGAGTCTGATTGTGAAGGTGAGTGCAGCACCTGGTTGGTGTTTTCTCATAAACAAGAGCATAATGTCCCACTGCCACATGCAGCTTGGCATACGGCAGGTGGTAACATGTGGAGAACTTAAAATGGACAGGCATGAGTATCCCAGCTCTTGGATCTACAGTTCTGAGGTCAGTTCCAAAACCAAAGTTGTAGCTGATTTGATGAAGGAGAAAGCAACAATGATGAAGAGAATGCTGTTTTTGATAGGTAATGTTCATGACAAGGAGATGATGTCTAGACATTGTCGTGGTTTAACCAGGACAACCTCTTCTCTGAAGAGGCAGCATGGCATTAGGCAGACTGTGGCACATTACCCTCTGTGGCGTGTAGCAGCTTTCCTGCTCTGAACTGCACATAGAGATGCCTTCAGTTCAAATGACACTTTGAACTGGGAAGTTCTGAGCTGTATTTCTGGTGCTACCAAGATGTACGGCTAAACTACCTGTTTGATGTTTTATGTTGCTGTAGGTTTGTGACATCTGTGCCCTGTAGCCTGACTGAAATGAGTGTGACTATAAATATAAAAAGCTTTGGTGTTCTGTGAAGGCAATTGATAACACTGTCACTGTGGGAAGTTGAGAGGTTAAAATCAGAGTACAAGTGTAAAACAATTTAATAAAAGATTAATGAATATCTTGGTATATTCTCTGCTATTTCAGTTGAAGTAAGCTTAAAGCAAATAAAAGAAACATTAAGCAAAAGAAGCCCGTCTCAAAATATGAAGATGTCTTTTCAGGAGTTTGTGAGTTTTAAAATTAAGTCCTTACTACAGAATTAAGTGCTTAGCTTTGTACAATTCCACGATACGGTAGATATCTTAATTTCTCTGGATAAAAGACTGTCTTAAAATGTATGGTGGTTTATGGATCGTCTTTAAGATTACAATTTCTTCTATTCTTGCAAGTTAATAGATAAGTAGTTTTATGAAACTTATAAGTCTTAAATGTACGATCCCATGGAATCAGTAATGTTCTGCTAGTATGGATGTGCTGACATTTTTCCTTTCTGCTTTTTTATGGACTTCTATGCTAGGTATGTGAACTAGGGAATGTGAGTATTAAAATTATTGTGGATAATGGAGACAGGTTTGGTGTATTTTTTTTTCTGAGCCTGCATGTTAATCTTCACAGGTGGATGCTAGCAAAAGTTTGCTTCTGTTGTGTCTGATGGTACCGTTGTCCATAGAAGACTTTGCAAAAAGACAGAGACAAAAAAAAAATTGATGCGAACTTTTTATGTGTACAGTGACTGTATTATTGATTATTGCTTTATGTAAGATTTTGGTAGTGAGTTGATCTATAGTGGGAGCTTATTAAGAGAAAGGATGTTTCTTGGAAGCAGGATGATGCATTTAACTTCCCACTGCTGCTTTACCTTTTTGAGTATGGCTTTTCATCATTACACTGGAGTCAGACAAAGTGCTCGGTGTTTAATGATTTATTCAGATGGTTTATTTGTAATTTAGGTTTCCCTTCTTCTGTAGATGGATATATTCCCTTCAGCATTGCAATATTCTGGAATAGGACTGTTCATCCTTCAATTTGCTTTCAGCACAGTTGTTAAAAGGTGACTGTTGTTGGGCTGATTTGATGGGAGAGTAGCCTATGTTAAGGGGTACTGAATGCTGTCACCACTGTGTTTCACATAGAATATCACAAATCTATCAGGTAACTTTTTTGAAATAAAAGCCTGAACTCAATTTAAATTTGAACCAGAGACTGAAGGGAGAGCACTCTATCCCATCTCTGGTCAGCCAGCTTCAAAAGGTCTGATGATGTATTTTTGAATCCGTAGGTCAGTGTGGACTGAATTGCTAACTTTGGTACTGACTCACTCTTTCTCATATATGCTTATGCACAAAATGCATGTGAGAGTGTGAGATTTCCTTAAAGCAGCTCTGAGAACATTAAGTCCAAATAGATGCAGCTCTTACTCTGCTTTGAAGGACATCCTTCCTTCTGCCTAGTTGCTTGCTCCAGTTTAATGTGGTAAGAGCTGGGGCTCAGCCTGTGGGACTGAGCACACTTTCTAAAGACCTGTGTCCTACCATCTGGTTCTTTCCACTTTCACCAAGTTGCATGGCCAAGCCTTTCCCTTACTTGTGGGATTTCTTTTTCCTCTCTTTACAGCATGTCCATGCATTTGTTCACAGTCAGCTCTTACCATATATACTTTTTTCATTCCTTAGGTTTGATCCGTAAAGTGCTGAGCACTTCTCACCAAAGGGCTGCCATCATTTCACAGTGTGCACAGTACTCTGTAATGTGCATATACGATACATGTGAATAGTCCACACTCTCAATTACTTGAAAGGAAGGCTCACTTCTGCCTCACTCTGTACAAAAGCAGCATACGTGGTTGGGAGTAGTTCTTTGTCTGACCATTTTGACCATCATGACATGCCTCATTAAATACCACTTACTTCTGATCTTCCTCTGCTCTCCAGTGTCTGTGAATCATCTGTGGTTAATTTCAAGAGTTTAGTTTAAAGCCTGAAGCTGATCAAGGTATTTCTGCTTTTCTTTTGGTCTATATTGGCTATTACCACTGTAGCATTGATCTGCTACCTCTTTTGTATTATGCACATTGGCAGTTTCTGGCAGTCTTATTCTAGAGTGTCTTTCTATAGTACTGTTTGGTAGATGGCAATATGAAATTAAAGTTTTTAGAAGTGCTGCATGCCATGAATTTTCCCCCTCTCTTTCAAAAGGAGTCCTGCATACCTGAAAATTAGGCAAAATAAACCTGTGGGGTCTGCTCTCAATAGACAATAAATCAGCAAAATAATTGCTTTCATGCTGTTTTTGCTGTAGTGTGGAGTTTCTGTTTTGAGAAGTGTCATTAAATGACACCTTATTCGCCTGCCTTCCTGGTTTTCTTACCTTTTACTGTAATCCCTAGTAATCACTGTCACATACCTACAGAAGTTGCAATATCTGCTGCAGCATGGCTTAGTTCCTGTAAAGAAAATTTCTGTTTCTCTTACTTTCAATACACCTTCCTACAGGATATCAGTTGGAGCTTAGACCAGCTCTGGTTTCAGCTCTCAGACTTCTTCCTTCAGGAGAAATCTTTCTTGTTTCTAATAGACTGTCAAGAAGACTTGACTAATTTGGTGGAAGTGAAGGCATACATCACTGGAATTTGCTCTTTTGCCATCAGATGGCTTCTACAAGGCGGGAAGATGTGTCTCAGAAGGCAATGCTTTTGCTGCTCTTTACTAAGCAAGTTATGTGCTATATGTTGTCTTGGAGAATTGACAGCTGCCTCTGTGTGATTGCCTATACCCATATGTATGTATTTGTACGTATATAGGCATGTTATACAAAAATACATAATACATATACTAAGTTTTCATCAGGTTCTTAAAGCCAATCAGCTTCCAGACTTTCAGAAAAAGCTGATGAGTAGCTTTACATATTTATGCCAACCATAAAAAGCTATTTGAAATATTCTTCTACCCCCTGGGCCAAATTCTTTCATTTAACTTTCTGTGTGATCATGCTTGGTACTGGTGAGGCCACACCTCAAGTACTGTGGGCCCCTCATGAGTTTTGGTCCTTCACTACAAGAAGGACATTGAGGCACTGGAGCATGTCCAGAGGAGGGCAATGAAGCTGGTGAAGGGTCTGGAGAACAAGAATTATGAGGAGCGGCTGAGGGAGCTGGGGTTGTTTAGTTTGGAGAAAAGAAGGCTCAGGGGAGACCTTATTGCTCTCCACAACTACCTGAAAGGAGGCTGTAGTGAGGTGGGGGTTGGTCTCTTCTCCTAAGTAACAAGTGATAGGATGAGAGGAAATGGCCTCAAGTTGCATGAGAGGAGGTTTAGATTGGATATTAGGAAAAATTTCTTCACTGAAAGGGTTATCAGGCATTGGAACGAGGTGCCCAGGTAAGTGGAGGAGTCACTACCCCTGGTGGCATTTAAAAGATGGGTAGGTGTTGTGCTTAGAGATATCGTTTAGTAGTGGACGGGTTATGATTGGACTTGGTGATCTTAAAGGTCTTTTCCAACCAAATTATTCTATGATTCTATGAAAGTACTTTGCATAGGATGAATACAAGCCTAACTAATTTCTTTAGATATTAAGTAGATTTACAAAGTGTGGGATTACGTTATCCCTCTATCTTTTTACAGATCTTGGCAGAAGTGGAAGAGGAAAAGGTAATTCTAGTCCAAAGGGAAGTTTTGCTTGAAGTATGTTTCTTGATATAAACCTTCCTTCATATACGTCAACTGTGTTCCTTTCTGTGTAGCTGTGTTTCAGTGGTAGTATAACTCTGTCTTATGTAAAGTGTTCTTATTCATCCCATTCATGAGGTCCTTCTACACTTTGGGACATGTATGTCTGGAATTCAGATATTGTCAAAAATTGCTCCTACTCTATGCTGGGACTGTGGCTGTGTTCACACTTGTGCTAGATAATTTCTGAAAAATCCGAGGGAGGAGAAACACAAGCAAAAGTAACTATCGATTTCCCAGAAGCCTTGCACTTCTTGCTACAAGACTGAAGCACTGCTGCCAAACCAGCACAATCTGTGGTGTTCACAGGAGCATTTACAGCTAGTATATTATATTCTTTGTAAGATGCCCACATAGCTGCTGGGCACATTTCTTTTTACTTTATAAATTACCGAAATAATGCAGCAGTTCTGGAGTAGCTGGTCGAGCAGTTTTGACACCTGCTTTCCTGCTTTTTCTGTCTTTTAGAGAAGACTTATCTTTCTTCTGTGTATTCTGGGGGTTCTTCAAGGAAGGTTTTTTCAGCTACAAGAAAATTACTTCCCTGCTTATTTCTCTCTACAGTTTTTCATTGATTCTGTGCAACTTGTCACATGAAATGAAAGCAGAGGTTTGAATTTTCATATGCAGCCTATTCTTACAGTAAATAAGATTAAAGGTGAGTCAGTTGCCAGTGCTTCACTTGTTACTTCCTTTAACTGCTGGAACCTCCTCACCAGTCACGCAGTCAGGAGG